GGGATGGGATGGAATGGGATGGGATGGGATGGGATGGGATGGGATGGGATGGGATGGGATGGGATGGGATGGGATGGGATGGGATGGGATGGGATGGGATGGGATGGGATGGGATGGGATGGGATGGGATGCGATGGGATGGGATGGGAGGGGATGGGATGTGATGGGATGGCATGGGATGGGATGGGATGGGATGGGATGGGATGGGATGGGATGGGATGGGATGGGATGGGATGGGATGGGATGGGATGGGATGGGATGGGATGGGATGGGATTGGATGGGATGGGATGGGATGGGATGCGATAGATGGGATGGGATGGATAGGATGGGAGGGATGGGATGGCATGGGATGGGATGGCATGGGATGGGATGGAATGGATAGGATGGGAGGGATGGGAGGGATGGGATGGGATGGCATGGGATGGGATGGGATGGCATGGGATGGGATGGGATGGGATGGGATGGGATGGGATGGGATGGGATGGGATGGGATGGGATGGGATGGGATGGGATGGGATGGGATGGGATGGGATGGGATGGGATGGATGGGATGGGATGGGATAGATGGGATGGGATGGATAGGATGGGAGGGATGGGATGGGATGGGATGGGATGGGATGGGAATGGTCGCACAGCATAAGCTACGACTCCCCATCACCACTCAGAGCTCCCATCACCACTCACAGCTCCCATCACCACTCACAGCTCCCATCACCACTCACAGCTCCCATCACCACTCACAGCTCCCATCACCACTCACAACTCCCATCACCACTCACAGCTCCCATCACCACTCACAGCTCCCATCACCACTCACAGCTCCCATCACCACTCACAACTCCCTCAGCTGCTTAAGGCTGCTGACTGCCGCTGGAATGGAGCCTGAGAGATTGTTTTGGACGAGCTTCCTGAAGCATGGCGATGGTTGGGCGTGGGCAGAGAGGGGAAGGGGAGGCACTGAATGCAGGGACGTGCAAGGTATGCAAGGAGGGAGTTCATGATTAAGAGGAGTGAATGGAAAGTGGGCTGCTGAACTTGAGCAGTGCAGAGTTCTTACGTTCACCACTTCACCAAAGTGGATTCAAGAAGCGCTTATGCTTGGATCCAAGCGTTCTTGTCTGAGGCGCCTCAGTCGTCTGTTGAGGCGCCCTCAAAAATGTTCTCCACTTATATAAAAATGGATTCAAGAAGTGCTTATGCTTGCATCCAAGCATTCTCCTGCAACATGGTGTCTTATGACACTGGGAAGTTCACAGGTGACCACTTCACAGTGCGAGGTTCACAGGTGACTGGAAAGCATGTAATGTTGTGGTAATTTCCTGCCGATACCTAGAGATGGGAAGCTTAGGGCGTAGGAGAACGGGAGAGAGGTAGGTGGAGGGAGAATAGGCGCACAGGGTGGTGAGTGCGGAGAGGTTGCCTATGGAGGCCGGAATGGTGCCACTCAGACCGTTGCCTTCCAGCCATCTGCCATGTCGTCGCATGGGATGGCATGGGATGGCATGAAAGCCGTGGGATGGCATGGGATGGCATGAATTGGCATGGGACTGAAGCTGAGTGAGTACAGCATGTGTGGCAGCTCAGGGAAAAACAGGTGGATCCAAAGCACTGAGTAGTCAAAACAATGAGCCATGTCGCTGGAAAAGCTCCAAAGGAATGAAATTAGGAATGCTTGCACACAAAATCCATTGCAAAGGCACATGAAACTTGTGAAAAAGGACAGGAAACAGTACCAACACAGTCCTTCTCAAGATTCACAATGTGCAATGCTTTTTTAGTCCGGTTGACCTATAAGGTGAGTTGTGAAATCGAGCAACAATTGTTTGCAGGTATCATAATGCACAAATATTGCAACTTCAATCCAAAGCAAGGCATGTCAGCAGCTGCACACATGAACCAGTTTGAAATCGGTTGCTTTATTTCGGGCAGCGTTCGTCCTTACATGAGTTTCAGGTTGGTGAGAGCTCCAATTGACTCAGGTATGGGCCCTGAGAGCATTTGCTCCCCAAGGCATCTGCGACCACATGCGGCACAGTGCGGTGAAGTGTGGTACAGATAGGAACGGTGACGTTGAACGGTGGAGGTTGGGTGCGGGAAGGTTGGGGGAAGGTTGATAGCACATGGCCTCGCATGCATTGGCAGTGCTTGCAGCACCAGCAGTGCATGTGTCAGCAGTGCATGTGTCAGCAGTGCATGTGTCAGCAGTGCATGTGTCAGCAGTGCATGTGTCAGCAGTGAATCTGCCAGCAGTGCATGTGTCAGCAGTGCATGTGTCAGCAGTGCATGTGTCAGCAGTGCATGTGTCTGCACTCAGTCATTCAGCCACTCATCCACACAAGCACTCCTATCAGGCTATCACACCTGGTCATCCCACAGCACCTTGCATGCTGGCCCCATCACCACTCACAACTCCCCATCACCACTCACAACTCCCGTAGCTGCTTGAGGTTGCTAATTGCGTCTGGAATGGAGCCTGAAAAGCTGTTTCCAGAAATAGTCCTTGTATATGGAGAGGGTGGGTAGATAGAAGCAGGGAGCAGGGCGGGGCAGAGAGGGTGGGAAGAAGCAGGGAGCAAGGCGGGGCAGAGAGGGTGGGTAGACGCAGGGAGCAAGGCGGGGCAGAGAGGGTGGGGGAACCATTGGAGAAAGAAGGCCGGGCGGGAAGGCATGGGTAAGAGAATGGAAGGGGGTAGATGGAAAGGGTTTGGGAGGAGTGCGGATTTGTGAACTTTGAGTTGTATTCTACTTCAAAAATCAGAGCGTCCTGAAGCGAACCAATGTGGTATAATAAGGGCATCAGAGGACTACATCAAAATTCCAAAGAAGGTAGGTAATTTAGGAGTAAGGTGGCAAGGGCACGGATTTAATGGAAAATGGTGTTCGATTGGGCGTTGTGCATGGCATGGCAGGGCATGGGAGATGGTGCATGGCAGATGGTGCATGGCAGATGGTGCATGGCAGATGGTGCATGGCAGATGGTGCATGGCAGATGGTGCATGGCAGATGGTGCATGGCAGATGGTGCATGGCAGATGGTGCATGGCAGATGGTGCATGGCAGATGGTGCATGGCAGATGGTGCATGGCAGATGGTGCATGGCAGATGGTGCATGGCAGATGGTGCATGGCAGATGGTGCATGGCAGATGGTGCATGGCAGATGGTGCATGGGAGATGGTGCATGGCAGATGGTGCATGGCAGATGGTGCATGGCAGATGGTGCATGGCAGATGGTGCATGGCAGATGGTGCATGGCAGATGGTGCATGGCAGATGGTGCATGGCAGATGGTGCATGGCAGATGGTGCATGGCAGATGGTGCATGGCAGATGGTGCATGGCAGATGGTGCATGGCAGATGGTGCATGGCAGATGGTGCATGGCAGATGGTGCATGGCAGATGGTGCATGGCAGATGGTGCATGGCAGATGGTGCATGGCAGATGGTGCATGGCAGATGGTGCATGGCAGATGGTGCATGGCAGATGGTGCATGGCAGATGGTGCATGGCAGATGGTGCATGGCAGATGGTGCATGGCAGATGGTGCATGGCAGATGGTGCATGGCAGATGGTGCATGGCAGATGGTGCATGGCAGATGGTGCATGGCAGATGGTGCATGGCAGATGGTGCATGGCAGATGGTGCATGGCAGATGGTGCATGGCAGATGGTGCATGGCAGATGGTGCATGGCAGATGGTGCATGGCAGATGGTGCATGGCAGATGGTGCATGGCAGATGGTGCATGGCAGATGGTGCATGGCAGATGGTGCATGGCAGATGGTGCATGGCAGATGGTGCATGGCAGATGGTGCATGGCAGATGGTGCATGGCAGATGGTGCATGGCAGATGGTGCATGGCAGATGGTGCATGGCAGATGGTGCATGGCAGATGGTGCATGGCAGATGGTGCATGGCAGATGGTGCATGGCAGATGGTGCATGGCAGATGGTGCATGGCAGATGGTGCATGGCAGATGGTGCATGGCAGATGGTGCATGGCAGATGGTGCATGGCAGATGGTGCATGGCAGATGGTGCATGGCAGATGGTGCATGGCAGATGGTGCATGGCAGATGGTGCATGGCAGATGGTGCATGGCAGATGGTGCATGGCAGATGGTGCATGGCAGATGGTGCATGGCAGATGGTGCATGGCAGATGGTGCATGGCAGATGGTGCATGGCAGATGGTGCATGGCAGATGGTGCATGGCAGATGGTGCATGGCAGATGGTGCATGGCAGATGGTGCATGGCAGATGGTGCATGGCAGATGGTGCATGGCAGATGGTGCATGGCAGATGGTGCATGGCAGATGGTGCATGGCAGATGGTGCATGGCAGATGGTGCATGGCAGATGGTGCATGGCAGATGGTGCATGGCAGATGGTGCATGGCAGATGGTGCATGGCAGATGGTGCATGGCAGATGGTGCATGGCAGATGGTGCATGGCAGATGGTGCATGGCAGATGGTGCATGGCAGATGGTGCATGGCAGATGGTGCATGGCAGATGGTGCATGGCAGATGGTGCATGGCAGATGGTGCATGGCAGATGGTGCATGGCAGATGGTGCATGGCAGATGGTGCATGGCAGATGGTGCATGGCAGATGGTGCATGGCAGATGGTGCATGGCAGATGGTGCATGGCAGATGGTGCATGGCAGATGGTGCATGGCAGATGGTGCATGGCAGATGGTGCATGGCAGATGGTGCATGGCAGATGGTGCATGGCAGATGGTGCATGGCAGATGGTGCATGGCAGATGGTGCATGGCAGATGGTGCATGGCAGATGGTGCATGGCAGATGGTGCATGGCAGATGGTGCATGGCAGATGGTGCATGGCAGATGGTGCATGGCAGATGGTGCATGGCAGATGGTGCATGGCAGATGGTGCATGGCAGATGGTGCATGGCAGATGGTGCATGGCAGATGGTGCATGGCAGATGGTGCATGGCAGATGGTGCATGGCAGATGGTGCATGGCAGATGGTGCATGGCAGATGGTGCATGGCAGATGGTGCATGGCAGATGGTGCATGGCAGATGGTGCATGGCAGATGGTGCATGGCAGATGGTGCATGGCAGATGGTGCATGGCAGATGGTGCATGGCAGATGGTGCATGGCAGATGGTGCATGGCAGATGGTGCATGGCAGATGGTGCATGGCAGATGGTGCATGGCAGATGGTGCATGGCAGATGGTGCATGGCAGATGGTGCATGGCAGATGGTGCATGGCAGATGGTGCATGGCAGATGGTGCATGGCAGATGGTGCATGGCAGATGGTGCATGGCAGATGGTGCATGGCAGATGGTGCATGGCAGATGGTGCATGGCATGCATGGCAGATGGTGCATGGCAGATGGTGCATGGCAGATGGTGCATGGCAGATGGTGCATGGCAGATGGTGCATGGCAGATGGTGCATGGCAGATGGTGCATGGCAGATGGTGCATGGCAGATGGTGCATGGCAGATGGTGCATGGCAGATGGTGCATGGCAGATGGTGCATGGCAGATGGTGCATGGCAGATGGTGCATGGCAGATGGTGCATGGCAGATGGTGCATGGCAGATGGTGCATGGCAGATGGTGCATGGCAGATGGTGCATGGCAGATGGTGCATGGCAGATGGTGCATGGCAGATGGTGCATGGCAGATGGTGCATGGCAGCACGCACAATGAAGTCAAGTCTGTGAGGCTGAAGATCCACCCAGGCAGCTTCCCAGACAGTTGATGATGGTTGGCCACGTGCCTGATGATGCGAGCAGCCAAGAGAGAGGGAGCCGTCAAGAGAGAGGGAGCCGTCAGGAGAGAGGGAGCCGTCAAGAGAGAGGGAGCCGTCAAGAGGGGAGGAGCAGTAAAGAGGGGAGGAGCAGCCAAGAAATAGGGAAGTTGTGGGGAAGGGGGTAGGATGGCCAAGGTGGAAATGAATGAAGAGCGAGGAGTACAAAGGAGGGGAGGAAGCATGGCAAGAGGGGGGAGCTTGGCAAGAGGGGGGAGCATGGCAAGAGGGGGGAGCATGGCAAGAGGGGGGAGCATGGCAAGAGGGGGGAGCATGGCAAGAGGGGGGAGCATGGCAAGAGGGGGGAGCATGGCAAGAGGGGGGAGCATGGCAAGAGGGGGGAGCATGGCAAGAGGGGGGAGCATGGCAAGAGGGGGGAGCATGGCAAGAGGGGGGAGCATGGCAAGAGGGGGGAGCATGGCAAGAGGGGGGAGCATGGCAAGAGGGGGGAGCATGGCAAGAGGGGGGAGCATGGCAAGAGGGGGGAGCATGGCAAGAGGGGGGAGCATGGCAAGAGGGGGGAGCATGGCAAGAGGGGGGAGCATGGCAAGAGGGGGGAGCATGGCAAGAGGGGGGAGCATGGCAAGAGGGGGGAGCATGGCAAGAGGGGGGAGCATGGCAAGAGGGGGGAGCATGGCAAGAGGGGGGAGCATGGCAAGAGGGGGGAGCATGGCAAGAGGGGGGAGCATGGCAAGAGGGGGGAGCATGGCAAGAGGGGGGAGCATGGCAAGAGGGGGGAGCATGGCAAGAGGGGGGAGCATGGCAAGAGGGGGGAGCATGGCAAGAGGGGGGAGCATGGCAAGAGGGGGGAGCATGGCAAGAGGGGGGAGCATGGCAAGAGGGGGGAGCATGGCAAGAGGGGGGAGCATGGCAAGAGGGGGGAGCATGGCAAGAGGGGGGAGCATGGCAAGAGGGGGGAGCATGGCAAGAGGGGGGAGCATGGCAAGAGGGGGGAGCATGGCAAGAGGGGGGAGCATGGCAAGAGGGGGGAGCATGGCAAGAGGGGGGAGCATGGCAAGAGGGGGGAGCATGGCAAGAGGGGGGAGCATGGCAAGAGGGGGGAGCATGGCAAGAGGGGGGAGCATGGCAAGAGGGGGGAGCATGGCAAGAGGGGGGAGCATGGCAAGAGGGGGAGCATGGCAAGAGGGGGGAGCATGGCAAGAGGGGGGAGCATGGCAAGAGGGGGGAGCATGGCAAAAGAAAGAAAGGAGCATGGCAAGAGGGGGGAGCATGGCAAAAGAAAGAAAGGAGCATGGCAAGAGGGGGGAGCATGGCAAAAGAAAGAAAGGAGCATGGCAAGAGGGGGGAGCATGGCAAAAGAAAGAAAGGAGCATGGCAAGAGGGGGGAGCATGGCAAAAGAAAGAAAGGAGCATGGCAAGAGGGGGGAGCATGGCAAAAGAAAGAAAGGAGCATGGCAAGAGGGGGGAGCATGGCAAAAGAAAGAAAGGAGCATGGCAAGAGGGGGGAGCATGGCAAAAGAAAGAAAGGAGCATGGCAAGAGGGGGGAGCATGGCAAAAGAAAGAAAGGAGCATGGCAAGAGGGGGGAGCATGGCAAAAGAAAGAAAGGAGCATGGCAAGAGGGGGGAGCATGGCAAAAGAAAGAAAGGAGCATGGCAAGAGGGGGGAGCATGGCAAAAGAAAGAAAGGAGCATGGCAAGAGGGGGGAGCATGGCAAAAGAAAGAAAGGAGCATGGCAAGAGGGGGGAGCATGGCAAAAGAAAGAAAGG